TCCACAGTATGGCTTTTGTTTTTCTTGAATGAGCAATAGAAAACCATAGGGTTATTTTAAGATAAGGGGGGTTTCCTAACTGTATGTAGGAAAGCCACTTATGGGAGCATTTGGTTGAATCTTATGCAGAATATTTACAAAGGTGATTTGTGAACAGATTCAAAACATATGTAGGAGGTCAAGTTGAGAGGCTTTGAAATAAGAGTGAAGATAGGAGAGTAAATGGGATAAAGTGTATGAAAGATAATGCCCAGGTTTATGAATTTTGAACCTAGATGGTTACCAGCATCACACATTCTGACAGAAAACACTGGAAGAAGCTTGGGCTTTAAGTAAAAGACTGTAGATTTGGTTTTGGATTTGTTGTATTTGATGCATTGTTGAAACATTCAAGAATGTGTCAAGTGCACATTGTGATGAATAGAGAGAGGTTTGGTCTGGAGATATCAATTTGTGAGTCATCTGATTAGAGGATTAACTAACACTGTATGTAATGACATTGTTTGGGGAGGAAGTATGTTTGGAAAAAAAAAAAGACTTCAAACTATCTTCCAAAATTCTAATATATAATGGCTGGAAGGAGAAAGTTGAGCATGCAAGAGAGTAACCAGAAAGATTATAGAAAAGTCAGGATAGTATTCTGTTATGGCAGCCAAGGCATTAGGTTATCTCTTTCTTAGCCATAATGAAATTCCATGAACTGGGTAGCTTATAAATGACAAAAAATTTATTTCTCACACTTCTAGAAGCTGGGAAATCCAAGATGAAGATGTTGGCAGATTTGGTAGCTGGTAAGTCCCGCTTTCTGGTTCACAGATGGTGCCTTGCCATAGATTACCTCCAAAAAGCCTATCTCCTAATATAATATCAATTTGATTTTAACATATACAGTTTGGAGGGATACTAATATTCAGATCATTGCAGTTTTCAAAAGGACAAAATAATCAACAGTATTGATCCCTGCTACAAAGTCAAGTAAGATGAGCATTGAAAGAAATCCTTGATGGATTAGGAAATGATACATTGATTTCTAAGATGGCCCCATGATCATCAACATAATCCTTGATGCGTGAAACCTATATAATCCCCTGTCCTTGGATATACGCTGGATCTATGACTTACTTCTGGACAATAAAATATGGCAAAGGCAATGGTGTAATTATGATCCCACATTTTGAGTTAGTTAAAATTGAAATTATCTTGGGTGTGCCTGACTTAATCAGGTGAAAGTACTTAAAAGAGAGATAGGCAATTCTCCCTGAGAAGAGGGGGTAAATTGGCTAATTTGGAATGTCTGTGCAGCAAGGAACTTCTGGAGGCCTCTAGAACCTAAAAGTGACTTCATTTGGCAGCCAACAAAAACCTGGGACTGTTTGTCAGACCACTGCAAGGAAACAAATTCTGCCAACAGCCTAAAGGAGTTCATAAGTGAATGATTTCCCCAACTGAGCTTTTAATAAGACTCTAACCTGGTGAGATCTGAAGCAGAGAACTCAGCCTGGACTTAATGCCTGGACTCCTGACCTCCAGAAAATGTGAGATGATAAATGCATGTTATTTTGAGACACAAGTTTGTGCTAATTTGTTACAAAGCAGTAGAAAACTATTAAAACAACATAAAAAAATTATTGGTGCTCTGAACAAAAGCTGTTTCAGCAGAATAACTCGGTGGGAACCAGACTGCACTACCTTGGAGGAGTGAGTGGGAGACAAATAAATGGAGCAAGTATAGATAACTCTTAGATAAATCAAGAGATTTTCCTGGAAACAGAACAGAGTGCAGGGTGGTAGCTGAATGGGGCTATGGCTTTGAGGACAATGTTTTTATTTTGTATTTTAATGTGGAATAATCTAAACATATTTAAAAATCTGTCGTTCAGAATAATCTATTTTTACTGAATATTTACTTGACTGTGCCAGATGCAGCATAGGTAGATATAATTCACATTAAATAACTAAGATCTACCCCTGCTGACCTTATCTTGATTTTAACATTGCAAATATTGTAAAGTGGTATAGAGCATTAAACAAGAAAACAATACAAAGTATGCTATTTAGTAAAACCTTCCTGTATACAACATCTCCAAATGAAAGAGAGATTTCTTTACTCTGAGGATCTTATAGTCTGAACCAAGTTTCCTTATGCCTTTCAATTATTAGTACAGAAAAGCTACTATGATTTGACTTTCTACGATAGTTTTCAAAGGTGGCACATTTGTGTGGGAGTTGACCAATAAGTCTTCGTGTAGATCTACACTGAATCTGTAGAATCACAGAAAAAGAACTATTCCATTGTGTTAAAAAAAAAAAACACTAGTATCAAACAGGAATTACCGTTTAAGATTGCTGCAAGAATTTCAGCTTTATGGTATTTGCTACAACCTCTTCTTTGTCATGCATTATTATTTGTAAAAATAGTGGTGGTACTATCTGTACATTTGCATTTCTGATCTCAAAAAATGCCTTATTATCCTCAAACCAATGTTTAGTTTGAAATAAGAAGAACAATTTCAAAAGTTAAAGAAAGAGACAGAAAGAGAAAAAAGAGAAAACAAAAGTTGCTACATCCCAGGTTCTGTACCAACTACTTAATAATAAATATCTCCTTTAATGCTCAAAATAATTCTATAAAGTAGGCTCTAGCATATCCTCATTTTCTTCAGTAAATAAACTGAATTTTATATTCAAAATGAGTATTCATGGTCCAGCAACTGGTCACATTAGGTGTCATATTAGAGAATAAACCCTTTTGTGTGTCTCTAAACTTAATAGTTTTAACTATCATGATATGTTGCTTCCATTACAAAAAAATTGTGGCTTTTCTTTCTCATGAAATTCACACTAGTCTGTAATAGGGAAAGAAGAACTGCTCATTGTACTAACAAGGGAAAATAAAGACCTCTATGGAAGAGAATAAAATTTTATAGATTTTGCATTTTTCAATACATCTTTTCATGTTCAGTAACATACTCCAGCTGAATTTCTGTGGTGACACTTCAAAGACTGCCCTGTCATAATCCAATTTTGATGAGAACTTATAACATAAGCAAGAGTTATATCATGTACCTTGTTAAGCACACATTAGGTAGCTTAACTTATATATTTTACATTAGAGAACAATAAAACTTGATTATGAAATACACCAATGATTATTCCTCTATTGTGTAGATAATGATTTAATATCATTTGATGTCAATCATTTTACCTAGGTTAGTCATTTTCAATCTTGAGCTTGCATCAGAATCTCCTGCAGAGCTTCTTTAAAAAAAGGTCACCAGACCCTGCTCAGTTTCTGATTCAGTGAGTGTGGCTTGCAGCACTAGAATTTGCGTTTTAAGCAAGTTCTCAGATGCTGCTGCTGCTGCTACTGCTCCTAGGCCTGTAGATCACAATTTGAGAACAACTGGCTCAGACCAGGGTTCATAAAGATTTCCTGTGAAGACCTAGGTAAATATTTTTGGTTTTGTGGGCCATTTGGTCTCTGTCACAACTGCTCAACTGTTCCTTTGCAGTGCAAAATCAGTTGTATATAATATACAATAAGTAGATGATGTCTGTATTTTAATAAAATTGTACTTACAAAAATAGATGCCAGTCTGAGTTTCATCAACAAACCATAAGTGGCCAACCCCTGGCTTAGACCAACTCAGTATAAGAACCCTGAAAAATTACTTTGTTTATGTTAAATGGCAACTCTGTGATAATCATTTACAGACATATCTGAAAATATCCCTTCTAAGTTTTATTTAAATAGCTACAAACTAGAGACTAAACTGATGTTCTCCTTGAAGCATAGAGAAGAAACCCTACAGTTTTTCTATAAACCCAATGGAAATAAGCAATACTTTTAAGCAAGAGTCTGCATTTTTTAAATGCCCATGAACTCTATCTTTATTTTCAAGTTTTAGCTTTGGTTGAATATTGTTTATGTTTAAACAAATCTGCCAGTTTAAAGAAGACCAAAGCACGATTGAATGACATATGTCAGTTCAGTAAGGTTATCTATTAACTTAATAAGAAACAAAACAAGAACGCTCCATTTGCCATGAGTGTACCCTGCTTTAATGTAGTTGCTCTTTACCCACAGCAGTATACTTCAAACTAATTAAAAAATGCCAATATAATCTTAAAAATCAACTTAACTTTTACTTCAGTAAACCCACTACATTAGCTTTATCGTAGTAAAATGTCAGTTCCTGTAAAAGGACAAAATTCAGAAAAATTTTTATCATAATGAAATGCGATTTAGTTACCTGAAAATAATTATATGCAAATACCATTAAAAAACTTGGTATTATTGTTCATTTTATAAACTTAAAATGTGAGTATTATGTCAAGAGTCTCCAACAATCTACTATATGCTATAGATAATAAGCACATAAAATCCCTACAGCCAATGGCATATTCTAATATCTAATAATTTGAGGATGAACTAAAATGACTTTATACTGGGATTCATGGTATCTATCTTTCAGAACATTTTCCCAAATTCAATTACAACATATGTTTCCATTTGGCAAACAGATTTACTTTTACTGGAAGATATCTATTATTTTGTCTAATGTAGTGATTTTAAAAAGTTCTCAGTTAAAAAAAAAAGTCCAAAGAGCCCTGTGGCTAAAAGGAAACTGGAAAGTGTTGATTTTTCGATACATTTCAAAAGTTTCTTTACTTCAGGTCTTCTCAGAACCATTACCATGCATGGTATAAATATCTAAGAATGATTTGTCAGATTGCATAGTCTTTTCCCACTGCATTTGAACATGGAACTTGATTATCAGTAGAACATCTTGAAGCACCAGAAAAATACTCTTAAGAAAGCAATGTTCTAAGTAAGCACTAATATTCAGGTAACATAAAGTAGATTATTTTAAAAGATCAATTTGATTCAACAAATATTCTATTACTTGACCAACCATTTAAAGGTCACCCATTTTATTTTACTATGCTACTCACCAAAATCTATCTAGAACACAGTTAATCCTATTAAACATACTTACACTCCTCTTCAGGCCTCTTCCGAAGTGCTGCACGAACCTCTTTACAAGGACTTCTCTGGTATTGTGGGGGATTCCTTCCCCTTATTAGGTTCTCCATCCTGTAAGAGAGAATTGAAAGAGTATTTTAATACCAACATTTTGATAAATGTTTACAACTTAAATGGACCAAAATTCAAATACCCAAAGATCTTTGCTAGACAACACCATGAAGATGCTCTGGCAAGGAGCAAGCTGCCAGGAAGCATCAGGGACCACAGTAAATTGGAGAGTGCTTGACTTTTCTGGCATTCCAATTAAACAAAACTGAAGAACACCAGGTGTATGAAACTTATGCATATTATCTAATTAGAGACTGCCATGGACTGAATATGGTCCCCACAAAATTCAAATATTGAAACCCCAGTCCCCAATGTGATTTGTAGGCAGGGCCTTTGGGAGGTAACTAGGTTCAGAGGAGGTTAGGAATGGAACATCTGTGATGGGATTAGTATCTTTATAAAAAGAGAGAGAGATGAAAAGGGAAAAAGTAGACTTCTCTCTCTCTCTCTGCCATGTGGAGACACAGGGAGGAAGCTGTCTTCCAGCCACAGTAAGAACCTCCACAAGGACCCAAATTTACCAGCACCTTGACTTTGGACTTCCTAGCCTCCAGAACTAAGAGCAATAGTCTGTGGTTTTAGTCACCCAGTCCATGGTATTTTGTTACAGCAGCCCAGGCTGACTAAAATAGAAACCTATTGACTAAAAAGTAATTTCTTGCAAAATAAATAAAGTCATAAAAAATAAGGTCACCCTTTAAAAAGAGAAAGCATATCTTTCACAATGAGATACTTTAGCCAGAACAGCCATTATTAAAAAGTCAAAAACAATAGCTGCTGGCATGGATGTGAAAAAGAAACACTTATACACTGCCACTAGGAATGTAAACTAGTACAGTCTCTATGACAAACAGTGTGGAGATTTCTCAAAGAACTTAAAGTAAATCTACCATTTGATCCAGTAATCCCACTACTGATGACCCAAAGGAAAAGAAGACGCTATTTCATAAAAACACCTGTACTCCTATGTTTATACACCACAATTCACAATTACGAAGATATGAAATGAACCTAACTGCCCATCAGCCCGTGAGTGGATAAAGAAAATGTGGAATATATATGATATTCTGATATATGTCATATATGATATACATGATACATATTACATATTCTATATAAAGGAGGGGTATATATGTGGCATATATATATATATATATATATACACACACACACACACATATATATACCTACACACACACCATGGAATACTACTTAGCCACAAAAAAGAATGAAAAACTGTTAAGTAACTTGGATGGAACTGGAGGCCATTATTCTAAGTGAAGTAGCTCAGGAACAAAACTCAAATACCATATGTTCTTACTTATAAGTGTAAGAACTAAGCTATGAGTATGCAAAGGCACACAGAGTGGTATAACAGACACTGGAGACTCAGAAGGGAAAGTGTGAGAGGAGGGTGAGCAATGAAAAAGTACCTATTGAGTACAATGTTCACTACCCAGGTGACATGTGCACTGAAATCCTAGACTTCACCAATATACAATTCATCTGTGTAAGCAAAACCCACTTGTACCCCTAAAGCTATTGAAATAAGAAAATTTTTTAAAAGTATCAGTTGTCAAGAGTAGAATTGCTGATTTCATTCCACACTAATGACTGAATCAGAACTTCAAAAAATTCTAATAATTGTGATTTCTTAAAAAAAGTGGTTAATATAAACTGTACTTTTCAGTTACTAGCTACATGGCAATGCTGACAAACAGAAAATAAGAAATTAATAAAACACAACTTTAACAGCATATACTTTGTGGTCAGCATTTTCTGTTTTCAGTTTTGCACATCAATGCACCCTCTACTAACTTCTACAGCATGAAAAAAACTTGAATGCTCAGGATTTGAAAATTTGGAACTAAATCATAGTATTTACTTAACATTTTGAAAATATAAACATGATTTCTTAATGTCTATATGATTATCCTCAACCAGGGATATTACTGGTTTTGATAACTGTCCTGGGTGATAGCATACATGCCATTGAAAACAGTGGGATTATTATGGATATACTGGCAGAAGGTCTCCTAGGATTAGAAGCATACAAGATTATGTTCCTTGTGCTTGGAGGGGAAATTGAGAAAGGATGATCCCATAAAAGAAGCATTTTAAGTGGTCTAAAATATGAGATAAATAGACTTTTGTGGTGGAATAGTAACATAATACTACTCCTATGGGAACTTATCATTGGGACTTACAAAAAGTCTTCCAAATATACTTTCTGAAATCAATCCATTCATATGTAGAGGCTGCTTTATGTGTTTGTGTGTGTGTGCAGGCACTCACATGCCTATGCCTGCTTGTAAAGAAAATGTTTTTGAATGAGCAGTGATAACTTGAATCTTAATTTCACTTGAAATTCATTTCAAGTGAGAAAAAATTATTTCTCTAAAGATAATGATAATACAGTGACAGGAAACCAAGTGGAAACTTGAAGAACTGAAGACATAAATCGCTTCAACATGATGTGTGTGCGTGTGTGGGGCGTGGTAAAGACTAATCTTCTAGGTCTGTCCCTGAAGTTTCATCATGAAGATTAGCTATGCAAACTAAATTACATCAAATTTTCTAGTTTCTGACTCTTGAATTAATTCAACGAACAATTTTGATTATGTGTTTCAGCAAATGCAGAAATCTCCATGTGATCTAATAACAATTTAAGTGAGCTTATAATTACTCACTAGTATTTACAAGCTCAAGAGAGTAAAATATAGCAAACAGAACCTGCACATGTGAATGTCTACATAAAATTATAGTGTAATTTTAAAACTACTTTTACTCATTGTGATTACACTCTGATGGGGAATGACAAGTTATATTCGTTGGGGAATACATGAAAACTACTCTCTTGAATAGGCTATTATTGTTCCTTTTTATCTCTGACTATCAAATATGTGAAAACAAAAGAGGTCTACTTGATTTCCATGCAATTATGGTTGAGGGTATGTCAGAAAAACTGAAAAACATATTAGAAAGTACTTTCAAAGGTTCTGGGAGAGTTTCACTTAAATCGTTGTTATTGGTATCTAAGCCCCTCAGGTTAGCCTCCCAGGAATCATGGTGTTCAGAGGTTGCATTTGGGATATGCAAGAGATTACACAATGCTGGCAATGTAGCATGGCTTAAATGTAATGTGCCTCAGCTCTGGAATCAGAATGCATGGGATTAACCTCTGTTTCTATTTCTTAAAGGATGATTTTAGATAAAGTTACTTACATATTTTGTGCCTTAGTTATATACTTACACAACAGGATTGCTGTGAGGATTAAATGTGGTAAACATGTACAATGCTTTGCATTGTGTCTGTCACAATGGAGAGCTCAGTAAATGAAGCTATTGTTGTTAATCATAATTATCACAAATAAAAATGTGATCATATACTAACATTTTAAATGTTCCATGTATTATGAAAAATATTACAACTTGTCTTTAATTAAGAAAATGAACAGATAGTACTGTTGAGGAAAAAAAAAATTTGGCTTACAAATTTTCTGATTATTAGGGAAACACAAAATATCCAGGTATATAAGTTGCCAAGTTTCGTAGATGAAGAACTTAATTAAATATACTTCATTTTAAAATAAGATTTAAGGGATTACTAATAATAATCTTCCAAGGACACTAACAGATATAAAAGTGGCTTATTGTCTTCATGAATTAACTAAAGTTCTACAAAATTGCAGGCTTTTTAGATAATTTAGAACATATTTAAAAATTTTATTGTTACTTTGGAACTTAGAACAATTGAAATATTTTGTAATATATTTACCATTTGCTTTACTACTTCATGAAGTAAAGTACTTCATTTACTTTGCCATTTGCCATTTACTTCATTAGTCCTTTGAAAAACCTTGTGAAAGAATATTTTAAAGATGAAGAAGTTAAGTTCATATATCCTCAGTGACTTACTCATGGCCACATGAGAAGTAGAAGGCTGAAGTTGAGGCAGCAATTAATAGCCTACCAACCAAAAAAAGCCCAGGTCTAAATGGGTTCACAGCTGAATTCTACCAGATGTACAAACAGGAGTTGGTCCCACTCCTTCTGAAACTATTCCAAACAATACAAAAAGAGAAAATCCTTCCCAAATCATTTTATGAGACCAACATCATCCAGATACCAAAATCTAGCAGAGACTCAACAAAAGAAGAAAACTTCAGGCCAATGTCCATGATGAACATAGATGCACAAATCTTCAATAAAATACTGGCAAACTGAATGCAACAGCACATCAAAAAGCTTATGCATCACGATCAAGTAGCCTTAATCCTGGGGAGGCAAGGCTAGTTCAGTATACCCAAGTCTATAAACATAATCCACCACATAAACAGAACCAAAGATAAAAAGTACATAATTATCTCAATAGATACAGAGAAGGCCTTTGACAAAATTCATCAGCCCTTTTTGCTAAAAACTCTCAATAAACTAGGTATCAATGGAACATATCTCAAAATAATAAAAGCTATTCACAAAAAACCCACAGCCAATATCATACTGAATGGGCAAAAACTGGAAGCATTCCCTTTGAAATCTGGCACTAGACAAGGATCCCTCTCTCACCACTCCTATTCAAGATAGTATTGGAAGTTCTAGCCAGAGCAATCAGGCAAGAAAAAGAAATAAAGGGTATTCAATTAGGAAAGGAGGAAGTCAAATTGCCTCTATTTGCATATGAATGATTGTATATTTAGAAGACCCCATTGTATCAGCCCCAAATTGATAAGCAACTTCAGCAAAGTCTCAGGATCCCAAATCAATGTTCAGAAATCACAAGCATTCCTGTACACCAATAACAAACTAACAGAGAGCTAAATCATGAGCAAACTGCCATTCATAATTGCTACAAAGAGAATAAAATACCTAGGAATACAACTAACAAAGGATGTAAAGGACCCCTTCAAGGAGAACTTCAAACCACTGCTCGAGGAAATAAAAGAGGACAAAAACAGATGGAAAAACATTCCAGGCTCATGGTTAGGAAGAATCAATAT